AGGCAGACGCTTCGGAGACGCGGACGGCCGTCGCCTACTCGTATGTCATTGCGTACTCGTGCGCGGTGATCGGCTGCCTCTGGGTGTTCCTCCTCCCGCCGCAGCGCGCGGCCGTCGCCGAGCTCAAGAAGAACGGCGGCAGCCAGCCCAAGGTGGCCGCGCTCATCTTCTTTGGCCTCTTCATGGTGCTCCTCACGTCCATCACGGGCAGCTTGATGTCCATGTTCAAGAGCACGAGCTGCTTCCGCATTGCCGGTGGCCGCGAGCCGTGCCCGGAAGACGCGCCGCAGACGTACATCGCCATCATCTTGGTGCCGGGTGCCATCGTCGCGTGCGCTACCTTGTACAAGCTCTACAAGAAGTAGAGTCGTGTCTAGTCTCTCCATTGTGTTTCGTTCTAACTAACGAGTTGTGTCGTGATTTGCTACAGTACATAATTTTTGTTTCTTTTTTCTTTTTCAAGGTGGAGCTTGTGCCAGGTAGGTGGAGCTGCAACTTGTATTTTCGACAGCACTCGAAAATTGTCCACGATGAAGTTGATTACGGTGTCACTTCCTACCAGCACTTCCCGCTCGGGTCTTTCGCTTGGTCCATGTCATCCATAGCGTCGCACAATGGGTTTAAAAGTGAAAGCAATGAGATTGGGCTGCATAGGATGCTGGCGAGAGCTCTATTGGAGGCATATGCCGTAAATAAGATCGTAGTGCCATCTTGTTGGCGCTCGTACGACACCGCTTGGTCGACGCATCACGATGGAGATGGAATTGTTCATCGTCGGTACAGCGATAACAGGCACTTTGAATAGCCGAAATGCTGCGGTCGGTGTGCGCCTTGCTGCCAACTGCTCGATCCGGACGCCGCCTGCAGTGCGCTGCTCTAGATATAACTGAAGATGGACCTGAGTCAAGATGGACCCGAGACAAGTCGCTCTCGTTGGGTCAGTCCGAGGCCACCATCCCGACGATAGACTTGCCGTTGTCGTCGGTACGTCTGCTGCCATGACTCTGTGCGCACTTCTCGATGCTCACAACTGCGAAGATCCGGCGCTCGGATGGGCGCTGGCCCACGCAAGGCAGGTTTCCTTTGGTGCCAACAACGGCCTCACGGGCTTGAGTGTCTTGCTTATCTGCAGGGCGTTCTCGAGCGACCATGCCGCCGCAAACAAGCGCAAAGACGTTGGTTCTTTCCGGCGTGTAGCTGCGTCTGTCCCGCGACAGTGAAACCTGAAGCATGACTTGAAAGCGCTACCTGCGTCGAGCTGGCGGCGTGCCAGACGACGTCCCGCTATATTGTCTTCCCGGTTAAGCACCTCTCGACCCGCGTACGTCGAGGCCGCAGTTGTCTACCATACTAACTAACTAAATACTAAAGTACTCAGGCGACCGTTTTCTTAGTAGCATACTAACTAACTAAATACTAAATACTACGATGACTCTTTTCTTTCGTATCAAACTAACTAACTAAATACTAAGGTACTAACTATGGCAACTGTTTTCTCACACAATTGGTTTTTCCCTATATCCGTATCCGTATAACTAAAAACAATCCAATCAGATCTTGTAAAGGCCGAACGTCGCCATTGACGACGTCGTAGGCAGCGACGCGTGCGAAGTCGAGGTCCGCATGACCGTCCTACGCGGTTCGATGGGGGTCGAGGTCGAGCTTGTTGAGGATTGGTGACCTTTGTGAATGTGATAGCTTATGCGCCGCCACAAGAAGGCCCGTAGCTCAACCGCAAGGGCGTCAAGTGCTATGACGTGTGCGTGCTCTGCCTCTCGAGTCTGGGCGCCAGCAACGTCGATGCGCTGGCTGCTGTGCACATCCAGAATGCGTTGAATGCCGTTTCCAGAAGCGCGTCTTCTCGCTCTGTGGCCGACACGTCTCTTCGCCTTGACCAAGATAAGTTTGAGGTGCTAGCGACGCTTGCGTTCAACAAGGAGCTCGTCGCCAAAACGATCAACCCGCCAGAGGATGGCGGCAACTCGACGTCGTTGAAGCCGCGTAGACTTTGGTAGCGCTCTACGCCCTCGACAACATGGAGAACGACGGGCTCTCTCTCGCGGAGTTTCCCAAGGACGCCGCTATGCTTGATGACGCTCAAGGCCCCATGAAACGCGTGCATCATTTGTAGCCGCGAGTTTGAACGAGTTTGATGGGATTTTATACCATATAGTAGATGTAGTACAATGTAGTACTAGCACTAGACATGCTAAGCAAATCTAGTACCTAAATACCAAGCGATTTCGGGTATACCAGAACACCTTGCAGAGGAGACCGATAAAGGATCACTCAGTACAACAGACAGAGTGCGGCGCTTGTTGGTCCGCAATGACCGCTGTCGGGAGGGATGGGCGCTGTGCGACTACTAGTATGTGTGGAAAAGGACACATTGCGTGGCAATCACGCATGATTGGGATAACCGCACGAACCTGCGAGACTGAATAACCGGTTTATACTAACCGGCTAGATAAACCGGCTACATAGTCGAGCCGCCCCACCGGTTCGCGTCGGAGGAGTCAATAAGCAAGCTGCGCCAGCACTACATTTAAGCACGCACATTTTGATATGGACGTGTCCATGTGGAGTAGA